TTGGCACCAGTTGGCACCAACTCAGCAGTCTAATTCTGAGAGGCCACCCTGAATCAACAGGAAATGTCACACAGAGTCTTCTTCTGAAGTTAATGATTATACTTTGCTGAGGAAGAGCACAGGGAAGTTTCACTTCATCTGAAGTATTGTATCTAATCTTGCATGATTCTAGATTGAAGGTAGGAGCCAAATATTCAAAGATTTTATGGTGCATCTTCAAACATAATGATTGCATTAAACCCATGGGGGAAAATGAAGAAATTGCAATAAATAAAAATATTTCACACCTTTAAAGGAGACCCATTCCTATGCTTCTTTTTCTCAAAAGGACCATATTATAGAAAATGTTGGGCACAGCTCTTGCGTCAAATGGAAATCTCATGTTTTGGCTCATTTATTCATAGGATATGAGCATCACTGACTAGACCAGCATATATTGTCTATCCAAATTACCTTTCAAAAGGTGATGGTGAGTTTCTTTCTTAAACCATCTGCAGTCCATGTGGGGTAGGTACACTCACGGTGCTGTTAGAGAGGGAGATATAGGATTTCCTTTTTTATTCATTCATGGGATGAGGGCATCGCTGGCGAGGCAGCACTTATTGCCCATCTCTAATTGCCCAGAGGGCAGTTAAGAGTCAACCACGTTGCTGTGGGTCTGGAGTCACATGTAGGCCAGACCAGGTAAGGACGGCAGTTTCTTTCTCTAAAGGACATTAATGAACCAGAAGGGTTTTTCCAACAATTCACAATGGCTTCACGGTCATCATTAGATCCTTAATTTCAGATATTTATTGAATTCAAATTCCACCATCTGCCATGGCGGGATTCGAACCCAGATACCCAGAATGTTGTCTGGATCTCTGGATTAACAGTCCAGCAATAATACCATTGCCTCCCCACACTTGACCCAAGGATATTGCCTTATTTGCATATCATTTTTAGTGTGTTACGTGTTTTTATTTCAGATTATTGTCACCTGCAATATTTTGCTTTTGCCTTCAAATTATATTGCGGCATACGACTTAATAGATGTTTTGACATATTAGCTTGAAGTCCCTTCTTAGCTTTAAGGTCTTATGCTGCTGGTTTTAAACGCAGTAGTAAATCTCATACAAAATAAAAGTAAAGGAAAATTTAGGTGAACAAGCTGAACATTCCTATTGGTAGGTTTTGCGCCGTGAATTCAGGGTTGAGAAAACTTGAAAGAGAAACTGACTGTATAATGGAACTTGAAACACAGCTGCACATGTCGGGGAAGTGGAAGAACATTTTGGAAGACTGTCAAATGGCTTTGTATATTTACTCAACTCAATCTGATGTCATTGCTTGTCTGAGTGATTAATTGTAATTGTTAAAAGAGAAACTACTAGCATATCAGAACATTTTTTTAAAGAAACCACCCTAAGTTTAGACCTTGCCTGAAGGGATAATTTTTTGCGAAAAGGGTGGAGCCTCACAAAACAGCTGCACATATCAACATGTGTATGCAAAACCAGGGGCCAAGCTTGCAAAATACATGGGAGATGCTCCAAAGTGGTACTGCAAACTGTAGATATCTGACCCATATACCTTCAAATGCTGACCATATAGCATCTTCCATTCATTTGTAGTGAAAGTATCACTTGCGTAGCAACAAATTAACCGGAAAGAAATTAATCATCAGGCACATGATTTCTCACCCTTTCCATTAGGTGGTACAGTCACAAAAACCACTCCGTCCAACGCTAAGTAACACAAACTTGAACAATCCCAAATAACTCGAGGGTGGAGCTAATGGAGCTGATGGAGCTGGCCAACATCAAGAAATTTGTGAAAACTTTATCTTCGATTCTCAGTGGTGTAGTAAGAATGACTTGTCAAAGAGCACTGTAATTCAAATGGCTTCCACTTACGTGCAGATGTGCATAATGTGAGTGGCATCAACAATGGCATTATAGAGGTCACTTTGTCAACATTGCCTTTTTGAAGGACGTTCCTGTAGCAAAGAACTTCAGTATAGTCAGTTCCTCTGTATTCTTGGCAACAACAATTCTGCTGCCTCTCTCATTACATAAACATTCCCTTCAGTTCTTTTTAAATAGCTATTTAATAAACTACTTCTCATTAACAGTAGGTTCTGCTGGGCAGGACTTCATGTCAAAAATTTGAAGGGTTTTGGCCTCACATAAATATGATTATTTTTGCATTCGAGAGGGTCAGTTATCATGAATAAAGCCATAAGGGAAATAGGATGACACTTACATTAGTGTGAGCTTAGTCCCTAAATCTTGTTGGCAGAACTGATAATAGCATTTATAGCATTCATCCCACTTCTTTCCCACATCACGGCATTATATAAAATACATTTCAGAGCAATTGGATTTGATGTTGAGTCTGTATGAAGGTTGGAGTGTTTCTTCTCTTATTAATAATATTTTCTTAAATGCCACAATTTTCCAATTTGTAATGAAATATAGGATCTTGTCAGTAAAAGTATGAAATGAATTTAGAATCATTGGCCTGGATTTTCACAGAGTCACAGAGGCTCTGAGGACTTCCCAAAAAGCAGGCAAAACCTGGAACTGGAAGACCCGCCCTCAGTTCCAACAGATCCTGTTTTCACCAGGGAAGGATATATAATGGCAGGACGTGACTCCCATATGTGGGAATCGCACACTCAGTACAAACATTTGTTCTTAGTTCTGATCTCAAACAGACCCTATTTTACCTGGAGCAAAAAGTTTTATCCCACAGTGCAGGAAGTAAAATCTTTTGAGCGGTCATATGAAATTTTGAAGGGCAGATATGAACTGTATAATTGTCAGTCATCAGTTATTTAAATGGTCAGTCTTTTAAAAATTGGGAAAAAGCCTGTGTCTGTGAATGTTGAAAAATATATTTCGAAAGATGCTTGGTGACGTACCCATATCATTGCAGCAGCATCAATTCTTGGCTACTTTTCACAACCTATTGTTATCATAATGGAAGTAGGGAAGGTAGAAATTTTTGGTGTGTTTGACAGTTCAAAGATGTGGAACTATAAATAGAAATGCTTGTTTCTTACAGGAGGTTAAATACTTGATGAGATTTAAATGCTTTGAAAGGTCTTTCATGATTGGGAGTATTTTTTAAAAATATAGTGAACACTAATACTTATTTAGAACTTCATTTATTTCATCTCAGCTGGGTTTAAGAAGTTTGCCATTAGTGAATATCAGGTCTTTTTGCTATAACATGTGTTTTGCTAACTCGAATTGGCTGTAATGCGACTTATGAACAGTGGACGCTGTTTGGATAACACAAACTTTCTACTGTACAGTGTAGCGATTTCCCTATAACACGATTTTCTATGGTAATTTTCAATAGCATAAGATTACACACGAACACAACTATCATTTACAGGAGAACTACCTGCTGGGTGAATAGATGTTGATACAGAATGGTGGATGGGGGTGGGGGTGGACATAAATTGGTGCTAGGTAGCTATAGGTTCTATGGGTAGTGGCATGGATTAGCATGCAGGATATGACAGGCCATTGGACCTGGGTAGGGCAGCCATGGGTTAGCATATTTTGTTAAGTACAGACTTAAAGTATAGGTAGAGGGTGAGGGACAGGGGCAGGTGGATAATATTTAACAAAACATCTGTGACAAAGTCCAAAATAAATGAGACATGCTATTTTGATACGGGCACAGTGGATCTCCTCCTTCCCTGAACAAATATCCAGGTCATTTATGGCAACTTTTCCCCCCAAGGCAGGTGTCCCAAGCTGGGAATTATCTTAGTTCAAACTACCCAAGCTGAGAATGAACACCCAGGTCATGGGATCATTCAGTGTAGAAGGTTCATTGTATCTCTGCTGCTCTTAGAAAGTGGTCTTCAATTAAGCCCACTTGTGGCTGTTTCCTTTTCAAGTTTATCTGGTTCTACCACTCCAGCAGGTCATAACAAGCCATAGATTTAAAAACATCCCCTCATTTCCATGGTCTCCCAACCCCAATTTCTTAATCAAGTATCCCAAATTATCCAAAATCTTACAAAAATAAGTGTCAACAGGGACAGAATGTCAAAAAATGTTTCCTATTTCTGATGGTCCTTGAGTGGGAGTTTCCAATCTCACAATCAAACCCAGAAGCTATTTCTAGGCAAATACGTTGTCACTGGAATCATTCAAAATCTTAACAATAAGGGAAATTTAATGTTTTAACAAGATAAGGGAAGTGTCTAGATTTTGCGGTAGCAAGGGATCTGGTGATGACCGCTTCTGTTGAAACAATTTTGCCCAAAATGTTGTTGAATCTCAGAGATGATAGCAGGATGGCAAGATGGGGGAATGCATCTTCAACCTCAGTACAGAGCTAAACCAGGGCTTCCCAAACATATTTCCCCACTCTGACTCTTTCAAGGCCTGAAGATTGTTGTGATTCCTCACTGAGTGGTGGAAGTGGAAGAGAGGACACGGTGCTAGCAGGGAGAGGAGGCTCAGCCATTGTTGCCTTGGATCTTATCAGCAAAATCTGGACTACCCCCACTTTGAGAAAACCATGGTTAAACCAAGAAGAAAACTGCCTAACCAATCTGATTGAAAGGTTGGGAATTAGACAATGAAAGCACTGGGAACAAGGGTCAACTTGGGGGAATGGGGTAATTTCAATGGTCAACTCAGGTTCAGATGTAGTGAATGAAAAATTGGCTTGAAAGAAAAACAGAAAGGTTAAGTAAGAAAAAAAGCAATTAAAATAATTCTGAAGAAGTTGTTCTGAAAGAGGGTCACTGGACCTGGAATGTTAACTCTGCTTTCTCTCCATAGATGTTGCCAGACCTGGTAATTTCTGTCTTTGTGTAAAATGAGTGCATTTAAAAGTCCCTCAAAACAATTCACAACCTGAAAGAAGGAGACTGCACGGTTATAATAGTTCATTTTCGGTACCACCGATGTTGACTAGCAGCTATTAAACCCCATGTGGGTGTTAAAAGGGGGCACTTACACATAATTACTAGTGTTAAAGTACAGTACCTCTGTCACGGTCTAGTCTGGGTCTACCGCACAAACACAGCCAACTCTCCGCTGTAACAGTGTGGCACTCTGTTTGCGTGGAGCGACAAAATTCGAGCAGCAAATTGCGGGGACTGGCATTCTCTGTCACTGGCCTGAAGTTGCTCCCCATTTACGCTTTAATAACGAAGGCTGTGCATTCGTTTGACCGCGACATCCAGCAGGCAGGGACTGAGAGCAACCAGGCTAGGGGAACCTGACTGAAGGCACGGCTGAAACAATAGCAAAAAAAAAAAAAATATTTTTAAACACAGTTGAGAGGTCAACATGGTCCCCCCCCCACCCATTCTGACCAACGTTTATATACATGAAGTTTACTGTTGCTTGTTTCTTAACTTTTCATTCAATTTGCCTGCACTGTTTTTGTGTGCCAATTTCAGTTCATTTCTAGCACACACATTTCAAAAGCCCTGTGTTTGTTGGGTTTGATGGATAGGGGGCTTAACCCCCTGTCTCTTGCCCAGGGATAGCCTCGAGTCACCACCCCCCACCTTGTCCTCGGGCGCCGCTCACCGGGACCGCTGGGCAATGAATTGAAAGTGAGCAGCTCCTCTGCCCCGGGCTGTTGGGAGCCGGAGCTGGGAGAGCGACTTACCTCGTTCAGCATCGCTGATCCTTTTTTTTTGCCCAGCAGCAGAGACAGACAGACAGAGAGAGAGGAGGAGAGAGCAGAAAGAGCAAAAGCAAACTTAAAACGCCAGAGGAGGTTGAAGAAAGATGCTGGGGGCTGATGAAGTTGTGCACTGTGTATGGGGCAAGGAGAAGTGAAAGGGGAGGGGGGCGAAAGCAGAGGGGAGCTACTGCTGCAGGAGGAGGAGGAGGAGGAGGAGAGCGCTTTCTGGTAACGTGCAGCTAAATGGCCGAGACTTGGTTTGTCAAAGGCGGCCGCTCTGGGCTGTCATGTTTGAAGAAGGTGGAGGAGGGGGGTTTGTGGTGGTGGAGGGGGGGAAGTGGAGACCTGGTTTTACCCTGAGGCGTTAAAGTTGAGAATTGAAGTGGCATTAAGCTCTCTCTGACCGACCACCAACACCACCCCCCCACCCCCATCCCCCCCCATAAGTTTCCCATTCGAGAGAGAAGCGGTTTGTTTGACTTAAGTCTGATCTGGAAGGTGAGGGGAGGGGGTAGGGAGAGAGAGAGGGGAGTGGGGGTGGGAGAGAGAGAGGGGAGTGGGGGTGGGAGGGGGAACCCCAAAGTTTGTAATAACACACAGTGTGGAGGAGACGCTGGCGATGAGGTCGGAGCCTCCTCTTGCCCGGAGTGGAGCTGAGGCCGGCAAAGTGGCGGCGGAGCGCAATGGTTACGTGAGGGACTGTGTGAGCGCTCTGGGCCGGGATCAGGGCTACCCAGCGTGGGCTAGGTTACTGCCGTCCGCCGCTTGCCTGGGCTCCCTCTCCCTGGTGCTGGCCGCCTTCCTGAGGTGGGGAGACGGGGAGGAGGAGAGCGCCTCACCGCCTCTACCTTCCCTGTCTCCCCCTTCCTCTGCCTCTCCACCGTCCGGGTTGCTGACCCTCCTGCACTGCGTGTTGCCCCTGTTCAGCCTCCTGAGCGCTTTCTTCTGGCTCGGCTTGTACCTGATCCGCTGCGGCCGGGGCGAGCTGGCCCCTCGGCTGCTAGCCGCCTGCTGCTTGGGCGAGACGCTGCTGCAAGCCGCCTCGCTGCTGGGCGACGAGGAAGAGCAGCTCATGTCAGCCCCGGCCAGCGCCGTGTTACTCGGTTGTCTAGCCGCCGCTACCCTCCTCCTGCTCCGGGTCGGTCAGGGTATCGGTACCATCATCTTCACCAGCCTCCTGAGGACAGTCTCTCTCCTCTCCCTGGACGGGGTCCGAGCTAGCTGGAGACCCTTCCTCGCTTACTTCATGGGCATCCTGGGTGTCCTCCTGGCCCGCTACGCCGTGCACATCTTGCCCGGCACCCCGCCTGGGATCGAGGAGAAGATCCCAGTGATCAAGAGGAGGAGGAGATCCAGTTCAGTCATCGCCGCCGAGGTTTCAAACACTCAGCTGGGTTCCAAACCCCCCAGGAGAACATCCCTCCCGTGCATTCAGAGGGAACAGGTAGGACTTTTTTTTGTGTGTTTTTGTTTTGTTTCTGTTTAAACTGAGCAACTATAAACACTTGTTAATTCACCTAACAGCCAGGAGGCTCAAAGTGTGCATTATTTCCCATGGCATTGGCTAGCTCCAGACACTGTTTACAAAGAGGGGGTAAAAAAAAGGATGTTAAAAATGCCCAATCCAATCATTTATTGAGCTGATTTAGGGCCTCTACTCAACAAATTGCCTTCTAATTTCTTAATTGCATGTGTATTTGCACAACAATGTAAAAAAGGCAAAGGAATTGCAAGTGTATTTCTTTGCACAACAAGCGGAGAAAGAAAAGCCTTTTCCTGTAGTCGCAATCCACATTTCAATGTGATCTGTCTCTCTTGATTTGTTTTAATGATTTTGCAAAAGGGAGACCGAGAGGGGTTAAGTCGACATAACTGTGATGCTTGTCGAGTCGTAGAAGCCCAAAGGGAAATTATGAAAATAATAAGTTATAGTATTTTACTTCCAAATCTCCTTCATCTGACGTACCAATTAGGGTGAAAGTTATCCAAGACTACAGCTGTGACATATCAGAGGGAAGAAAAAAGCCAAAGCACACCTGACAGGGAAAATAAATATTTTCACAGACTACAGAGGAAATTCTTTATAAAACGCAGTTTTAAATAATGAATGGTATGCGAGCCCGCAAACCAGTTTCCATCGAGTTGTAAACATCCAAAAGGACGCGATTTATAAAATAATAATGTATTCTATTTACATTGCACATTTTTGACTTGAGAGGATTTGTGTTGTTGAAAATGCTAAGTAGTGACTTTTATTCCATTTAGCAAAGTGTGATTTTATGAATGATCGAGCGGAAAAACAAATCTGGGGACATGTAGGTTCTAAGAAGAAGGAACCAGCTTGTAATGAAAGACATAAATTAAGCCACAGGGTGAAAAGCATTAGGAGTTAGGCAATAATTACTGTTTGTTGTATCAAGCAATTATCTCTATTACACCACTATAAAAATACACAGTAATCTCAAGGAAAATAAGTGGTTTGGCCATCTTATGTTCATTCAGTTCTTAGAGTTTGGAAAGTAATAAAAGTATTTTGATTTAATATGTAATAATTCATCTGTTCAACTTCATTGATCTTGCAAAGCTTTACGAGTTAGACAGAACACTCCTAGAATAGAATATTAGAAATTCTAAATATATATTTCTATTCTCCAGCTTATGTTTAGATGGTCCCACTGTAAGCATTTCTAAGTTTGAACTGAGTGTTTAGCCAGGCTCTGTGAAATGTAAGTATTCAAATTGCCGTGATGTTTAACCCATAATAAATACTCCAGACCACAGTCTAAATCTCGGTGAGCACTGATAATTTATGCAATGTACAGTCATCATTGGTGAGAGTATTTGCATTAAGAAAGATGCCAATTTCACTATGGGGGAAACTTGTGTTTTAACACATACGGTGCTGAATAACCTGAGAACTGACATTAGGAGGTTAAGCAAAGTAAATATTTTTTGAGCAGGACAAGGGGAGCGCAGGACTATAGACTACTTTAATAAACTTGTTTCAACCCTCTGTCATGTTTGTAACAAGTGCAGCATTGTTTCCTTGTGAATGTTTTCTCATTCAATATATCTTTAGTGCAGTGTGTTGTGGCTGACCTTCATTGTACTAGACTGATATTACAGCATTAGACTTGGGATATGTGTGTCACATAAGCTGGCAATTAGTTTCAAGATAACAAGTCAGTTCAGCTTTTTAAGTGACATTTAAAATAGGAAGGCAAGTTTGAGTGGTGTTATGAACATGAGAAGCACAAGGTTGAATTATGATCTTAAACTCACCAGCAGATCTGGTATTCTTTATTCTGTAGTTTGTTCTTGCTTGTTACGAAAAAGCCATTTTGTAGTGGATTTGATTCTCACTCTATATGTGACCTGTACTAACCAACAAGGTAATAAAAGATGCTATTGACGTAGGGAGCTGAAAGTGTATGGTGTCCCATGACTGGTATTGTCGCACTGCCAATACTGTGATTAGCAGAATAACAAGCACTATATAGCGGATGCTGGTATGCATGGAAGAGAATCACAAGGCAGTAATGCAGTTGACTGATTTGTTAGCCACCTGTGCTGTCTACGATTTAGTTGCATCTTCTCAGCATTTTTGTTCTGCACACAATCTTGCGTTGTTTTCAGCTTTCATTGCAGTTGCTACATCTTCCTTCATCATCGCTATTGCAAAAGAAATGATGGCTCTGAAAGTCTAAGATGATGTGAGCCTGCATAATATATCAGACAAAAATGTATAGCGTAGCACCTCCAGTACCATTAGGAGGAATTCCTCAAGTTGCCTTATATGAAAATGTCATAACTACATTCACCAATATATCTCCAGATCTGTATTTCTATTGATTCCAATGACCAAAAACACAATTGCTCAAGATATTGACTGGAAAAATATCTTTATGGATCCATTTACAGCATTGTTACATTGATTGACCAAAGTTCTCAGCTCTGCCAACATTTCCCCCATCAACTTCAGAGAACCTTTAGCTGGTGAATTTTAATAGACCTCATCATTCCCCGATACTTAGACCATTGAAATTATGCAGCATGGTTTGAGGCATTTGTGTTAAATATAGGACAAAAGGATTCCATACAAACCCCATTAGTAATTGTGTGCTAATATTGCATGGTATAATTTTAATGGCATATCAATTAATTGTAAGATTCGCTGCACATTTTCTTGCTGTAATGTGCATTTTGTTACCTTGATATAATATTTTTAAACAGATTTTCTCATTGATTGAAATAAATAGAACCATATCTGGTATGGTTTATAAATGAGAGAGTTTGAATTTATATAAGCCTTAGATCTGAAGGAGATCTTGACAAATTTTTTTTGATGCTTTTAGTTAGTGGAGTAACAGTGTTTGGGACACTGGGAGGAGTCATTGCTGTTCTTCAGATGCAAGCGTTGATCTTGTACGTGCACCTGAATGGAAAGATCATGTTTCATCTGAAGCATGGCTTCTTCAGCGATGTAGCACTTCCTATGTGCGACACTGGAGTATTAGCCAAATTGTGTTCAAATCCATAGTGTAAAGTAAAACACTGGCAACAAGCTATATTTTTTTTAATGTTAAAATGACGTTTGTACAGACCCAAAGATTAACTTTAATAGTCAGTTGTACCTGAACCAAAGGTTAATATGATGGAATCAGGCTGAATGCCAGTGTTTTTGAATCCTAAGTGCTGATCATGGAGGATGACTTCACCTTTTTGTACAGTATCTTTCATATAAAGTTACAACATCATTTTCCCAAGAGTCTGCTGTTTTGCTTTCATGAGCAGATCAATCTCTGTTATCCAAACTGAATCGACCTGGAAGAATTTTGAATCTTCTCTAACTTCTTGACCATTAAGAGACTTTGAATTTCATCTTTGTACACAGCATCTTCTCATAGTTTTCTAGTGTTGATTTGATTTAAATGATTAATTTTTTTTACCAGAGGTATGCTCAGAATGCCAGTTGGACTTTGTATTTTATTAATTGTAAATTCTTAATATCCCCCTCCTTCCCCTTTCCAATTATTTCTTTATTTAGGGATTTTTAAAATAATTATCAAGGAGAAGGATGCTAATGTTGGGAAATAGAATATTTTCTAATATTGGAGTAAAAGATACTGCCTTATGTATCCACAGAAGTGAGTTAATTATTCCATTACAATAGCAAGAAGAGAACACTGGTACAAGTTTTCAGTGTTCAGTATTTGATTCATTATTAAAAAGCTTTGTTAACCATAATTTCCATCTTTTACTACCAACAAAGAGGACTGTCAGATCAGATGAGATGCAGAATGACGGCTCCTGCTCTGTATTCAAGATTATGCCTTGCCCCATAAGCTCAGAATGCCATGTCTTCTGCAACTGCATGAGCCTTTACATATCCTGCACAAATAAACCCGTGTGACCTCCCTGACATAGGTTTCTTGCTACTTTTAGACAAACCGGTGCTGCTTTGGAGATAGTGTGGTGCTGTCATACACATTGGCTTATTGCATGCTGAGTCTTTTACAGGTAACAGAGAATTCAGGGGATTTTCATTTCCCCAGTCTTGTTGAATTCCAATGAATATCCCAAGTGTTAGAAGCGGTGCCTTCAACATTCTAATCTTAAGGAGGGTTGTTGTCCCATGTTAGTTGAAAATAGTCAATCAGAAGAAAATCTGTGGCCAAAGATTTTATCCAAAAAATTCTAAGCATCATGTTAAATCTATTTTTTTCTCTCAGATAAATATCAATGTAAATATCAAATTAGTGCAGTTTTGTAAAAATATGGAGTTTTTTTTTCAGTGCCAAGGCAGCTAGTGTTATGGGGTGTGTGGTTATAATTATGGGTGAAGCAGTGCTCTGAAAATTTATCAATGTTTAGTTTGAAATGTGTTCACATTGATCAGACAAAGCCATAGCCCACAAGTCATAGAATCCCCACAGTGTGGAAACAGGCCCTTTGGCCCAAGTCCACACTGACCCTCAGACATTCAAGCCAGACCCATCCCCCTATAGCCCCCCTAATCTGCACATCCCTGGACACTATGGGCAATTTAGCATGGCCAATCCATCTAGCCTGCACATCTTTGGACTGTGGGAGGAAACTGGAGCACCTGGAGGAAACCTGCACAGACACAGGGAGAATGTACAAGCTCCACACAGACAGTTGCCTGAGGGTGGAATTGAACCTGGGTCCCTGCTGCTGTGAGGCAGCAGTGCTAACCACTGAGCCACTGTGCCACCCTATAAAACCCTTGCCTACTTCCCATTTTTATACTCTGCTTCATGATTGGTGGCAACAAAACACTTCTGCGCTTAAAAGAAGCAGGTCACTTCCCTTCCACCTGGAAATGTTATTTTTACTTGTCACTTTGTATTCTCTATGAAGTTAACTGAATTGCATCAGATTCCATCATAAGGGATGATAGGTGGCACAGTGGCTCAGTGGTTA